AGCCCTGAGAAACAGTGCAATAAGTGTACCATGTTACCCAAATTTTTAAAAGCAAACCAAACCTCAATTCATTCAATCCAAACATCGGCAGGGACAGACAGGATCCCCTTATGCTTTACTCATGATAGTCCATGATTGGTGGTCCAGCACAGAACAGTAATACCACCTGGTCAGCTCCTAGGTAGTCTTATGAAACACCTCATTTCTACAGAGCCTGTTGCAACCTGTATAAAATATATTGAATAAGTGGTTGCTATTGTGGAATTGGTTTGATAAAAGCACACCTGTCTGGGCAACACTCGCCACAGGATGGGATCCTGTGAAACATGGTAAGAGACCCTGAAAGGATGCAAAGAAAATACTGACCCCTCTGTATAATCAAGCAGAAATGGTCAAGATAGCTACAGGGGGTAGGTGAAAACTCTCAGATGAAGAGACTGCCAGATCATGCACAATGACCTCTAGCGAGCAATTCAACCAGGTCACTAAGAGCAGAGAAATGTGACAAATCTGATTAGACGCAACTTGCAGTAGATTCCTTGTCTTCAAAGAAAGCACAGAGTGAAGAGTCGTTGTCTAGCATCTCTAAAGGCATTATTTCAGGCTACAAAACCTTCAAGACCCTCACTAGAAGTGAGAAATTGGGATCAGATGAATCTGTGAATAGGACTGAACCACTATCCTGTCTGGCAACATATTGGGCAAGAAGATTGGTCTGAGGATGTAGAAAGAAGGATAAAGTGGCCTGTTGAGAAACAGTGCAAATAACTCTGACCAGTGATGTCTGCAGGTCAGCAGCCATGAAAAATAAACCTTCAGGTAAAGGGGATACATGGCATATAAGAGTCAGGTTACAAACAGGTGTTGTAATGTAACCATAATATACCTGTTAGGTAACAGGAATGGTGATTTGGGACCAATGTTCCAAAGCTACTTGTGGAATCTGGAGAGTATTGGAGACTAAAAAAAATATGTAGTTGCTATGATTGAATGGTAGTAGATAAGGCCGCCTGAAACAAGGTGATTATGAAAGATGCAAAAACCTCTGCCAAGGAGCTAGGTCAAAAAACGAGTTATGGTTGGCACTTCTGAATAAAATGGGTTCAACCTCCTCTTAATACACCCTTGCTGATATGCATGTCATTTCCGTATATAGAAGTTCATTTTGGACTAAGCATAAAACAGAGACAGATACATGGCAACCTTAGAAATTAAACCAAGATAACGTGCAAAAGACTGTATAACCTCTATGCTTGAAGCTTAATCTTCTGGATAGCCAGATGCACTATATCAGATCATGACTGCCTCCACAGAGAGAGTCTAAAAAAAGTGGAAGATTTGGACACACTAGAAAGAACCTTAGAAGCAGAAGCCAGGGTGTAGCAGCCAATCTGGTGCTATCAACAGAACCCAACAATAGGTTGAAAAAATAATATTTAGTATTCTGGGTAACATACAAAGTGGAGAGAAGGTTTAGTGTTGTAATCCCATTCTGTCCTGATGGAATGCATCTATTGCCAAAGCCTGAAGATGAGTGACTGAAGACCAAATTGCCAGTAGCTGGGTAATCCAATGAGAGGCTAATCCATCAATCACAGGTGCAAAATGAGAGCCACTCCAACAAAACCTTGCAATGAAGCATACATTCTGCCAGAAGAATGTGTTAGGATTGAGACAAGTAACCTGCTGTCACAAGCATCACTCATGATACATGGCAAGCTAGCAGGGTGATAAGATAGGAATGGTCCCGAGGAGGGAGGTCCAAAAGTCGAAAACAAGGAGCCTTGATGAGAAACACAAGACACAACAGAGGAAATGTCAGAGTGAAGCCTATAGATTTTCCCCTTATTAAGCCCAAATCATGAGGCACTGTCTGTGGAAGAGCAAAAAGGCCCAAAACATAGTGTAGGGAATCATCATTGTGCATGCACAGACCCTGGAATTCCTGACTGTTGGGATATGCACCTCATCCTTGAAGCAATGCAGTTGTGAAGAGACAGAACTCTGGACAAGGTAGCAGTAGAGGAACCCATATCGTAGTAGTGTACCGATTTAACAACCCCTTGAGAACAAAGAATGATCCCGAATAAGGAATATTGGGGAAACCAGTAAATCGATGTGTATGATCTCTTGTGCTCTCATTCCAAAGTGACGAGAGATATGAGTGATGTCCACATTCCCAGAAGAGAAAGAATCATTCGTACAGGGGGAGAAGGAGAAGTGAGTAAGGGTGTGGTGAGCTATTCCATTGCATTGAGCCAATTGGGAGTCAACAGAGTCCGAATGAGAAACAAGAAGAAAATTTAAACAATATCCAGACTGATGACATTGTGTGGTGGAGCAAGAACATATGTGTCAGCTCTAAAAAGCTTGCCATCAAGTAGAATCAAGACGTGATGTTAAGACAATTGACAAGATGGTGCCAGCAGTAACCAGTCATCCAAAAAATACCATGTGAAGCCAATGTGAGTTCAAAGGCAAAAACCCAGAACTTAAGTACCTGACCCTTGTGCACAACAAATGCAGATAGTGGTGGAACTCCACCACTATGGCAAAGAGCAGATAGGAGCCAACTACAACAAACTTGGACATCGACAAACCCAGTAAAAAAATAAACTCAGATTAGGGAACAAGTAACTTATGAACCTTGGAGAATCTAGGCATTGATAGAGATGAGAAAGATCGATGACTGGACACAAATCTCCTGTCTGCATAGGCCCAACAACAGAAAGGCATAAAACCTTGGAAGAACTAGCACAACTCTCTCACTATCTCCAGACCAACCAAACTGTGATAGCCCAAGAATTAAGTTTCAACTCCTGATGACCTGTGGGAGACAGAAACCTGACAGGTTGGCTGGATAATAATGGTGAAGATGTGAACTGAATGACTAATCCTGACTCAAGGACCTGCAGAGCTGCTGGATCCATGGTGAAGGGTACCACACATCCATAATTTTTTGAAGCTGAGCCCCCACAGACCCTGAAGATATACAGTAATCACCGATGCAGCTGGCGATCCGACCAAGCCGTGGAACCCTTGGATATAGACAGAATCTATTCTGGGTACCAATGTACTGAGGGGCTGATGTCAGGAGTCAGGCCTACGAGCAGAGCCGGAACTATGACCCCCTTGTAGGAGCCGATGAAATTCCAGACTCCAACAACAACAGGGAGGAGTGTAGAAGCAGAAAATTGAACTAACATGTAGGCTAACAATGGATCTAACTCATCATCAACGAAGTTGGTGATCCTGAGTCTTCCAACAAAGTGAAGTGAAACAAAATGTTGAATTGTAGAGTTAAAAGTTCATAGACTTATTCTGTCCCATCAGGGGACATTTAACTATTCAGTTTAACTACAAACTCTGCCTTAAAACCACGAAATTTGAGAGGTAGAATGTATCATTTCATAGTTGAAAAATGTTTCCACCTGTTGGTGGTAGGCCAAATCACGACATTCTGACAACATGTTAGATAAGGCATAATTGTCCCTTCACGTTAACTGAGAAGTAAACCATCCAGCATGAACCACAATATCAGTGTATGGATAGAAAACTAAAAATTTGCTCCTAGACCTTTCAGCCATCAAATAGAGTGCAGGCTCAAAAGCAACTGGGAAAAAGCCCAAACATCACACAGTCAAAAGAACCAACAGAAGAAACAAATCAAAGGCAGCATCTCCCAAAACAGCCTCCATTTCGTTTTTCATAGGTCATTTAAAGACTGCTGTGTTGATTACCATTGACTGGAACAGCATTTTGTGAGATAAATTTGTTTTGTTAGAGCAAAGCAACATTAGGCCATCTGTCACATTCACCCTAGGGAATTGATCCATGGACCCCAGTGCTGCAAGTCCATAAACGCACCACTGTTTCACAGGGGAACTGAAAAGCAAACAGACTAAAAGAAGGCACATGAAAAAGCAGATCTAAGGTTTTCCCTGGAGGATCACCACAGAGCCAAATATGCATCTCCATATCACTACAAATAAGATCACTGACAGTCTCAACCCACCCACCTGTTGTGGGAGTCGAGATATTAGAGGCAAATAATCCGGGAATTCATACCTTTAATCTGCTTGTCAATTGGAATACATTTTTTAAAATTATTTATTTAGTTATTTATGATTATTATTATTAATAGGAAAATTAGGATAATGTTCAAAGTATCTCTGAACAATTGTAATACTGGGAAATCCGTTAGCGATGCTTTGTCGAGAAAAAGTAACAATATTATGTGAATGAGGTGCTTATGTACAGTATCAGAATATAGGGATCATTAATGTAGATGGAGAGTATCACAAAATAAATATTGCCAAGGGCAATTGAGTGGGGTATAAAAGACTGGAACAAGCGAGATAAAGTCAGACCAATGCTAAGATGGGCAAAGGAATAAACCCTGCCATTCAAGTAATAGCTATAAGTGTCAGGGGAGTTCTGCATGTTTTGGAAATAAAACTAGTGGGTTAAATTGTTTGAAATTTGTCAAAAACATTACTTAAAGTATGTAATTTCGAAAAAATAAAACATTTTTTCTCCTATTTCTAATAAAGAGATTTGTTATTTAATGTAGTTATTTGCACTTGGTTATAAGCATGCCATTCAACTTCAAACTGTTGCATAGCAACACAGCTACAACTTTACAAGTGGGTATGGCTGACCTTACACTAAGGAAATATTTACAATTGTTTCTTGGGGGAAGAAATTATTCTAAATGCTTGAGAAAGTAATGTAAAACATGTGTATTGTGTACTTTGGCCATCTGGAGGAAGCTTCTTCTCTACCAGCTCTTAAAGTTGAGAAATTGTAATTGCAAGCAAATAATGTGACAGCAAAAACTGCATTTGTAATTGTTGTTTTAGATGTTTCTTTTTGAAATAAAGGAATAAAACTTGGATAATATAAAATTTTGAATTATAACGTACTTGATAATAATAATTTCATTAAACTAAATTAATAGTACAGTGGTTTAATTAAATTTTGAATGTAACTCGGTTCCATACGCAGAAAGGAAGATAAAAATGGCGTCAGTAGCTATAGGGTTAAACAATTCTAGTTTAAAATGTACTATCACTTTCTATATTCAAAACTAAGATACCTGATCAGTGAAAATCTCCTGGGTGAATATAGCTTTCATTCGAGACAAGTTATTTTGTCGGATGGGAACTTTCATACCAAGTGTTGAACAGACTAGGTCAGATATAGCTGTAGTCTGGTTGCTGTGAAAATGAATTGCTATCAGCAGCAGCATCTCGCCAAACGAAGCATTCACTCCACTCGTCCTGGGTAAAAGACTCACTCAGATCAAATAACAAAAAATGCATGAATGAAAACAAAACCTAACATTTAACTGTAAAGAAGCTTCTTAGAAAGTTTTTTTTATACAACAGAAGACTGGTAAAACATCAGAATATATATTAAAACAAAGGCGAACAAAATGTTATTGCTAACATTTTTCCATCTCTCAGAGTAACCACATAAATAGCATTCTCTTTAAAGCAATCATATGTTTCCAAAAGTACTCTGTGTATTTCAGATAGAAAGATTTCAACTTACTAAATTATTTTCTTCTTAAAGTAACTATATATATTTGCAGGAATGTTGGCTGAACTGATATTTTTATTTTAAAAAATAACTTTTTAGTTAAAAAAACCAAATGTATCTATAAATGTTGACTGTTTTATCAAAACAAAAAATAGTACTTACCCCAAGATATAATTTTTCTTGAATCAAATATTGAACAGAAATATGTCGTACCTTCCAAAATAACTTTCTTCTTGAAGCAACCAACATATCCATTCACTGGCTCTCCTTTCATGGTCTCCATCAGAGATAAGTGTAGGACAAGCAAGTAGCATGCAGACTCCAAGAGATACAAACCTAATGCCAGCAGGACTGGGTGGGGGGTGTGAAGTTAGTAGCTGGAGGAGAAGGTTAGTTTCATCTTCATAAAACCTAGAAGCAAAAATTTAATTCACTAAGAAAAATGTAAATGCAACATTTGTAATCTTTTCTCTGAAATAATACACACAAAAGTAATTGGTAATTCTCAAGTACAATTACCATAACATTAAAACAACACTAAGTTCCAACTTACATGTATTAATGCTCAGATTCAAAATAAATAGTAAAAAGATCAATATTTTTGAAAACTGCAAGTTTTTATTTTTGTTTGAGACTATAAACCTAAACTCATTAATTTTCCTACAATTAATGATTGTACCGATTGATTGAAAATGTATGGCATTTTAAAATGGCTTATAATAAAATATATTTATATAATAGATATAAATAATTTTCTTCACATTAAGATTTTATTACAGATTGGGTTAGTTTTCAATCCATATACCCAAACTACTATCTTATAATAATAATAATAAAAAAAGAAGAAGATAAATTTTGACATAAAGGCTAAACTATTTGTATTGATGGTGCTCTCTTTCCAGATACAAATGTCTGTGAACAACTGGAGAAGATTAAATTATGAAAATTAATGTTTGACTTTAATAACCTATGACTATAATCAAGTGGTTTTTCTCTGAAACCCAAAAAGCATGGGTAGTATATTATTATTATTTTGTTTAGAGCAGTATAATATAGTTGTGTTTGTGTTATACAGTAGTATAAACTAGTTGTAGTTGGGCAATACTATATTCTGGAAAGTGCAGGGAGTACACGTGAAAACATTTTTTCATAATGTTTATAGAATTTATGATCTTACGCAATCCTCTACCACAGTAGAGACAAGAAGGAATTGCAAACATACCTGTACATCTTGTATTTGTGTTTAAATAAAAACTAAATTTAAGTCGTAGCGAGTAAGCAACATATGCTACAGATGGCAAGTTGTTTTTTTCCTAAACTGTTTCTTGGAAATAGAAGGGAGTCCAGTTTGGAAAAGCACTTTAACATAGAGGTGTTTAAAGCCTGTGATGTGTGATTTCTGACAAAAGATGTTTTTCTCTCAAGTGAGCAACATATAAATGTAAGTTTACTTTCTTCGTGGATTCAATACTTTTATATTTGGTTTATATGATAATATTATTTAGTAACCGACTGTTTTTTTTTTTATGTTTGATGTACAAATATTAAACTGTGGAAGTGTACAAATAACATACACTTTTCTCAGTATCAGGGCTTTAGGTATATTGTAATACGAGGTTAAAAAGAAAAGCCTAAAAGCCGTCTCAATAAGGTTTCATTTTCATCACTGTGAATTTGAGATTGCATGTACACACACTCACACACATATATCTATATACACAGTAACCCTTGTTAGTCCACACATCAAAAATTCAAATTATTTACAATGTGGATGATTTATGATTTAGGTACATCTTTGCAACAGGAAATTTAATCAGTACTCCATATGTTCGTGTTCTGTAACCAAACAGCTATTTTTTGTAAGGAACACAAATTTCCTATACATAAATGATTCAGTAATCCAAACATGACTCCATGGTTGCTGAGTAAGTGTCGAACAAAACAGGAAATGAGGTGATAACTACTGGCCACAAAACATCTGCACTCACAGTAGGTATGGATTTACAAAAATTTTCTGAGAATGACCTTCACAGCAGGTAACTACATATAATCTATAAAAAATAGTGAGATGTCATCAAAGCATTTTATGCTGCAGTCACATCAAGTCACAGTGCTCTAAAATGTAGACACATAAATACCAGCATCATTAAACTGTGATGTTTGTTCATACAAGAAAGCAATGCATTTACCATGTATTCTGTATTCTATAAGTAAGTCACTAGTTTGAACAAAAAAGATGATTTATGTAAAGATAATGACATAATATGACACTTTGGTTAAGTAATTTGTATAATTATTGACAACACATACAATAATAAACTGCTAAGTTTATTGTATATACAGTTGCTTTTTGTTTACCAGTTACACGCCCACACTTATAGTTTGCATCATTAAGTTTATTGTATATACAGTTGCTTTTTGTTTACCAGTTACACGCCCACACTTATAGTTTGCATCATTAAGTTTATTGATTGATAACCTATGCTATTAATTGTCTCCACTGTACTGAAAGTTACTGGTTCAACTATCCAGATTTTCTCATAAACCTTAAGAAATCCTTCATTACAAATACATTTGGGTTAATAAGGTTTCACTGTATATAACATTAAATAAACTAATAATTCCTACTGGTGTACATAGCTTTGAATTTACTTTTTTCTACACATATGGGAACTAATAAAAGAGAAAAAATGATTTGTACATAACAATTAAATTTGAGTTACAATATATAATTAAAATGCTATTACATATTTTAATTCTATAAATACTTGATATCAGAAAAAAGAACACAACTAGAAATTTTATTGATTCTGTGCTGTTTTAGAATGAGTGCAAGAAGATGACTAAACACAGTTATTTTAAAAGGTAAAAAATAAAATAGAAAGATATTCTAAATGTGAATGCCAATAAAAAAAGAAAGATTCGTATGTTATTTGTAACTTTCAGTGAAACTGGTTCAAAATATGTACATTGTTAATATATTTAGAAGAGATATGGTATAAATGAACCCAACAAAAAACACAAGTTAACCATATGCATGGTAGTGTGATGACAAGTTGTTGTTCAGATCTCATTTTCAAAATTGGGGTAAGGGTTGACTTTCAAAAGTATCAACTTATCACTTAATGTAAATGAGAATTATTTATTTTAGGCTTTTATTGTGCCCACATTTTATGGTATTTTAATGTTTCATATTTTTCAAGCTCCTACAGATAGTTTCATTGCACCCTATGTCCTATCTATATACATTCTAGATCCCAATATTTAAACTACAAAAATGGTTGCCTCTGGAGCTGTAATAATATGAAACTAAGTTGAAGTGTGAAGGTCAAGATGAATAACAAGCTTACAATTATCAACAAGTGAATTCCAACTAAGTTAGTCATGAAATAAACTTTTATACAATTTTTTTTTGTTTGAGTATGTAAAATGTGAACAATAATTGTTGTACAATAAAAAAATGTAACAAAAAGTTAATGTGTTGTATTTACAAATATTAGAATTCAAAAAACATACATATAGTTGTCACTGGTTTGAGAAAAACATATCATGCAGCTTTGTACCCTTCCATCAATCTGCATACTATCATTCATTTGCACAAATACATTTCCTCTGTTATTTCTTTATGCCTTTATTGTACATGTTGTTCCACCAACTAGTTCCTTTTGGTATTGATCTTTTGTCAAAGTGAATTAATAACATTAATAAAATACAGAGCAAGGTAATTTTCTTTAATGTGGCTTGTAAATTACAGCTAGGAATTCCATAGATATAATATTTTAAAATAGTGATAAAACTTGTAAGGTAATTCTTACTTTAAGCCTGCAATGCCTCGTAATGCACAATACAGCCTGAGAAGTGAGCTGGCTTGTACAACTTTAGAATCAGGGAGGTTACGTTGATCAATACTGAACAAAACTAGGTTCTGAAGGCGTTGAAGAAGTTCTTCTCGAAGAGGCTGTATAGTTCCTCCATCAGATTCACATTTCTAATAAAACAGATGCAACAAAAAGTTTCTCTTATGTCCATATTTTAAAGAAAATAACATCAGCAATATCTTATATTTATCCAACTAATCTTTCATTAAATAATCTGGTACTGAACTATGCAAAATTTCCACAAAACATTACAAAAATCTGGTATTTATCTAGTCAATCTTTCAATTACATGTACTAGAAGCTAAATTAGTGCTTGACCAATTTATTATGCTTATTGTGGAATCCATTTGGCTTATTCAATTTTGTAACGAGTTTCCTGTTGGTTCATATTTTGTATTTACTTTTTGACAACACTACTTAGGATTACTACAAACTCTGAAGACAACTTTTTATCATAAGAAATTTTATTTTGCTTTTTTTTTAAACGCTATAGTTTCCTTAGAAATAGAATGAAAAACAGTTAACTTTTCCACACTATGGCATTATACTGGTTGCTTCTGCATTTGTAAAATTAACAACTCATAACCATTACCATTTTTTTGGTAAATTTACAATTTATAATGAAATAAAACCCACTATGTGACATAGCTGCATACTATGACATTATGCAACATTCTTTTAAGTACTGACCTTTTCACATGCAGCTATACCATGTTTTCTACCCCCCTCGTTCCAACAGACATTTACATTTTTTTTTATTTATTCAGGTGTATGTGCAGTTTTCACTTAACTCAGTGGTCAAGAAGGTTAAGTCCTTTCATTCTTGCTATCCATTGATCTATATCATTCACCTAAGGTATCACCTTTGTCTTCCCCTAAGAAAAAGTTCTGTAAAGCTGTATGTACTATGTGTGGAAGTAGAGAGTGACTTTTTCCACTGGCGGGTCAGTGAATACAACCTCCCTTGGGAATGAAAAACAGATGTGGATGGTGCATGTCACTCTGAGAAAGTATGACATTCTAATTCTATGTACATAATATTATGTTTTCTCAGTGTTGAACAGATTTACAGGGAATACAGTCTGGAACTAGACTATAGAGACTAAACAGCTTTTAGCTCTCCAGTAACAGTGATTGCCCATTATGAAAATAAAATACCCCCACACACTGTTGTAAATAAATTGTAAATAAATGATTATGTTCGTTGAATTTTTATATTGCATCCAGTCTCATTCTCTCACAAACTCAGTCATATTTAGCAAATTGAAAATTATTGTGTAATATATTTCTCAGTCACATCTCCTGATATTCTGTGGAACTATTTTGCCACTCTTGGTGAAATCAGTTTCACCCGAGAATAAAACAACCTGAAAGCCAAATTTCACAGATGTTTAATAGCAATAATATAATCATAGGCCTAACATATATTGTTCAAACTAATATTTATCATACTATCTCCAATTAATAAAAATTACCTTTGTATTATTTTCTGAACTGCATACCTTATAGGAAAGAATGGAAGCTTTGTAGCAAAGACATTGCAAAAAAAGAAAAGAATGCCAGCTTTCAGACAACAGATTAATGGCTTTGTTATCTTCATAAGCTTGCAAGTTGTAATGCAGTAAGATGAATTTTACAGTATTTTGCACTAAAATTAAAACTTTCACTGTATTCAAAGTGTTTGACCTAGAAATAAGTAACAAACATGCATAAAGACTACACATTTGAATCTTTGTTTCATATGTTGAGTTTTATCTACAGATTGAAAGTTTTAAATATTTCTGCTTCCCCTATAAAAATTACAATTGGGGTGGGGAAATAAATTAGGGGTAACACTTTCAATTTTTTTATAATATTTTATTCAAAGCAAATATTAATAAAATATACATCAAAACAATTCCTAAATCTCATCATTTAGTTAGTTTTACTTTCTAGGTGATTTAGAAGATCAGACAGATTTTTTTTTAAACTTAAAAATGTCACAAAAAGTGTAAGATAGATACTATGCTGGAAAAGGTTAAGGTAATTTTACTTAATTTAATTACATAAAATTTAAAAAAGAACTAATTTATAGTGCACCTCCAGCCTTCCAGCAACAAGAAAGATAGTGCTGTATACATTAATATCATTTTCATGTGTTTTTTTTAATATATCATTATTATGAAGTTTTATAGCAAGTTTCAAAACTCATAGCTGTTAGCTGCATAAAAATGGAAGGATATCATAATGCAACATAGTGTACCATCACTCAACTATAAAGGTTTTAGCAGGTGAAGAGTCAGAGCTAATTAAACCCATGCACTATTAATATTTACAAGATTGTAAAAAGTTAAGAAATGTAAAGCTAGTACAGCACAACAAATCCAGTTTTATTGTTTGAACACTTGGTCATTTTGAATTCCAGGTGTGGCCAATTTGTATCACCTGATGCCCAAAACAATGAGACTTGTGTTAGAAACAAATTTTATCATTATACTGTACCTGTTGCACAAGTACATTTTTGTGAATTAATTTTTATATGACTTTGAAATTACTGTGCCATCATCATGTATCATTAAAATGTCAATATAGCACATAAAATATATATACGTTTTACAAAAATCTGAGATGTCAACTTTTTCAACCACACTTTTTTTATGTACTGTTTCAAAACATTTAGTGTTTGATTTAAAATGATTTCAGATTCACTAAGTTAATATGCAAACAGTAATGTGTAACTTACAGTGCCTAATGCTTAATACCCTAAGACTATGCACATGCACACTGGTATACAGAACACTGGATGTCTCAAAGCTATATGTTAAAATTGTGCTTGTTGAAAGTTTAGATCCAGTGAAAGGTTTATTCACTTTCAGTCACCTACATGAACAATACTTTGAACACTTCTCCAGACAATTTAGTATTGTTTTACATGTCCATAAGTATGTTTATTTTGAAGATTTAAGTGTTTTATCTATAATTATGCAGTTTACTCAAACTTTGTAACCAATCAAAGTTAACAAATAATTATAATTCATTTTATTTATTATGGAAATTCATACTTAGCTAAAGTAAAAACCTAGTATTTTGGATAATCTTCAAGTACTCTAAATTTTAAAGTCAAATAACATAAAAATTAGAATAACATCAATTAATTTTGTAAAATAAAACTTTTGATCTTTATAATGTTATCTTACACAATTTGAAATCCATTAGAGAATGAATAAGAATAAAAGAGAAGGCCTATTCAGGTAATATTGTATTATTTTGTTAAAAATACTAATTTCTCCATGATAGTCACTGTAATGTTTTATTTCTATAATGATGATGTGATACATGTCAACTTTTTAAAAGTTAGCTGTGTAATTCTGTAACCAAATTTTCAGTATTTTCTACATAAAAGAAGAGAAATTTCCATTATAATGACATAGTATTTTAGATAAACAAGTCAAGCAAAGTTAAAACAACATTAATATGTTCTATTAGTAATCACTAATTGATTGTGTTTGTTGTCTTCTAATAAAGATCTTTCGGTTGAAACTTTATTTTTAGTGCTCTATCTTTCTCTCTCTATTTATATATATAAATATATATTTTTGATCTATTTGAGAGTAGGGTATCTGCATTCTTTACTGTTATGTTATTATTTTTTGAGCTTGCACCTCTCAAACATAGATTAGACAAGTACAGCAGTTTTGGCTACTGTTCAAATCCTTAGTAAAATCCGAAGTTATATTCAGTTTGTATGTATATTTTTGGGATGGTGAAGGAGCAAGAAACAGATTTTTCTATCATTTTGGGTGTTGAATAAACAGTTATTTGTAAATTGGATGCCCCTGAAGTTTTTAGTATGAGTATAATTCCAAGATTTGCCTATAAGAAAACGAGGGATTTTGAGGCCTAAATGTTAATAAAAAAAACAGATATCCACGTACTTGTGATACTTAATACAGGTTATACCTTCTTTTAACAATTTTTGACTGCTTACAAAATAAGCAGTCAACTGACTGGTCATTTGACTGACTCATCAATCTTGACAAAAACTATAATTAAACTAGGCTAACACTGTCAACTGACAATGTTTAGTTACATTAAATTTTATTCTTTCTTCTTCTTTCGTATACTGATGTTATATTTTATACAAAAAAATGAGTAACTGTAATTCTCATTGACCCATATTGATTTTGTGTTTTATTAAAATATACTAATAAAGGAAAACTACAGACCTTTTGACAGTTTCGCACATACTGAGCAAACCATGCTCTCACTTTGTCATCATTTCCAAGTAAAAGACCACTGACAAAAGCTACTAAGTCTCCAACTACTGAATCAAAATCAGTAGCTTCTCGATGTCCCTGCTCTAGCCGACTGTGATCCAATGTCAGCAGCACTGCCAGGCCAGGCATTCGACACTGTTCTACCTGAAATATGTAAATAAAAATCCCAGCCAAGATAAAATATTTTTCTTAAAAAGGATTTCAAACAATTTTGAAGTTAATCAGTGAAATACAAGTATGTCCGAGTCAATGTGAAAGGTCTTTTAATTGCTTTTAATCTGTGAAGAACAGAATAAATAATCCTATCATTCTTTAAAACTATTTCAATACAAATAATTACCTAAACATTATCTAGAAGTTTGCAAAAAAATCTTAATTTGACCACCACATTACCAGTGAAGACTTATATTTAGGTTCTCAAATTTCATTGCATTAAAGAAACTTCCACTTAGGAGGGGATTTCATTTTCTGTTTTGTTACAAAATAAGATCAAATTTTTGCTAGGCTTTTTTTCATACTAAAGCTTAGTAATAACCTTTAACTGCATCGTGCCATAGAGTCTACAGCATGATAGCCATTTTTATGTGTATTGTTCAGTAGAATCTAAGGCATATATTATCTTTCTTTCTCTATACACCTACACAGATGTATATGTCTTGGCTATGCAACTAATTCATCACAAGAGAATCCCCAAGTTTTCTAGTGGTTATACATTATGTAGATTACATGACAAACATGACTACTGCATATTTTCAGAAGGACAACATACTTTCACTGCTATTTTTTTTACTAAAGGACAAATGAATATATATAAAAAAAAAACAACGGATTTTACCACAAAACCTTAAACAACCTATTTTAGTGATTTTCAAACTATGTAGTAAAGACCACAAACTATTAAAAAATATTTAAAAAAAACCAACAAATTCTGGACAAAGAATAAACAATTCTATCTCACTGAAGAAGTTAGAATTATAATGTAAGCTAATAAAGGATGATATTTTTATTTAAAAGTTATTAAAATTTCATTAAAAAAATAATAAAAAATAAGGCTTCAGTAACAAATTCTTTTAAGTGGAATTTTAAGTGTTAAGAGAGATAATTATCCTATTTTTGATAACTGTTTATCCATATACATAATGTAATTTCCTTTTTGAGATCTTGGTATCTTTCATATGCACAGATAATAGGAATAAAACCCCAAATATTAACCAATTGATTGGACAATTAATATTTAACAAGAGACTCAATGAAAATTAGCCTGTTAAAAAAACATCTAACTACAAAACTAAAATCTTCTATTTTCACTTGTTAAATAAAAACATTTTGGTATGGATAATTAAAGTAAAACATCACACTGTTTTAAGTAAGTGAAAAGTAGGCCTCAAATCAGTTAAGTTTATGAAGTAATTGTTAGTGTGTTGTAATACATTTTTTCACTTCTACAGAAATCTTTCCACACATCTATTTTAACCATGAGATTTGTGCCTGTCTTTACATTTGTTTGAAAAATATTTTCTTAAAACACAGACAAATAAAATGTATTTAACTACATATATATATAAATATGGCTTACTGCTGTAGCTCTAACACTCAGAGTTTGAACCACATTCATCTGACACAGCATTCGGAGGGCTTGCATCCGGATTCTTCCTCCAGGTGTTTCTTCATCTTGTTTCTCTCCATTCTTAATCAAAGTCTCACACACTTCTTGAAAGCTGTCTGGTGCATTTGCCACCAGTCTGCATATAAGACCTGCACCATTCTTTACATGAAGAAGAGCTTCAGCTACATCTGGAATATGTAGTAAACCTGGTAACTCTGCCTGAGCTATACACAACACATCTGCCACTTCTTCTAAATAGACAGTGTTGTCAAACAACTCTGATGATCGGAAGACGTACTCACTAGGGTTTTCTTTAACCTTGAAAGCACAGAGGACTTGTATGTTAGCTACAATAATCAGTTAATGGTACTATGTAACATGTTAAGTAATTTTAACTTTAAAGCTAACCTTTCTAAGCAGTTATTATAAATGCTTAATCTTAAGGGAACAGAATTATTAACTTTTAACTTCTTGAAGAGCTAAGTGATATCACACATAAATGTAAAAGGTGAAAGCATTTCAAATGGTCCATCAGAATTACCCTGATCCAAAACATTAAATAAAAATCACATAACAATCCAATTCCTCATAATCTTTCACATCCCTGTACAGTTATCTATTCAAAAATAAGGTTGAATAACACAGACTAAGAGCACACATCATATCATCAAGGAAACTATCTTATATGTTATTAATTGTCAGAGAATAGCTTGTATACATAGAACTTCAAAAAGAGTATGCTCAATAACTCTAATAACCAAGTTACTATTACTGACACTATTAGTCTAGAAGCCCAAAAGGCTACCTACAGTTAGTCTATCTCTACCTCAACCAATGACTCAAATCACCATTAACTTTCCATGCCCCACTTTAAACATGTGCAACTGTTTAAGCCTCTTTTCAAAACTAAATGTTACTTTACTACTGCAGATGTTACTAACACAGCACCTTAATTTTGATGCTTAGTTTACTTGATGTTTGAAAAATAAGATGAATTTGACAGCCAATATGACTTCTATCATTCTACTTAATATTATCTTCTATTTTTACTGAAATAACTATTGTTACTGGACACTTGGTAAATATACAAGTATTAAATTTCAAGTTACCTTCATGAATATGTAAATGTACATAAAAGCTAATTATACATGTTACCCAGTCATTGGAATTACTCTTCTACCAAATACCATAAAGAAATAGTATTTGATAAAAAGTATAGTCTGCCACAATAACAAAAAAACTCACTGAGCAAATGCATAATCTGCCATAATAATTAAAAACTAACCAAAAGCAAATACTGGTCCATCTATGGACTGTTTAATATTCATAATATGATTAAAATGATACTGGAGAAAATTATATAAATTACATATAACCAAAAATATTTAAGTATAATAACTGTACTTAAACTGCAACCAAGTTTATTAACAATTATGCTTCAATATTAAATAGTCACTAAAACATTACTCTAGTAAACCAACTATTCATTTCTAAGCTACATTTTTTAAATATTTCATTTGGTCATGAGAGATGAAGCATTGAATTCAAATATAAATCTGACACAGATCTTACACAAAATTTTATAAATTGTTGTAATTTCTTTAAAGTCTAAAATAAATTGTATAAGGAAAACTTCAAATGTTTTTTTTCAATGTCACCAAACCCACCTGTCATAAGACCTGTCATAAAAACCTAAAATTCACTGAGCAAAAGGCATAGTGTGCCATAATAATCTAAAATTTACTGAACAAAAGGCAAAGTTTGCTATAATAATCTAGAACTCACTGAACAAAAGGCAAAGTTTGCTATAATAATACAAAACTTGCTGAGTAAAAGGCAAAGTTTTCTATAATAATCTAAAACTTGCTGAGCAAAAGGCACAGTCTGCAATAATAATCAAATCTCATTAAACAAAAGGCATAGTCTGCAATAATAATCAAATCTCATTAA